CCTTGTTCCACGTGGAGGCCCACGTGCCTGGGCCAGACCTGGTGTGCAGGCTGGGGTCTTCTCCATTGGAGGGGCCGGGTTGGCAGTGGGGTTGGAGGATAAGGCCCTTTTCTGAAGTGAGCACAGGCTGACTGGTGCCCAGGGAAGCATGAGAGGCAACAGACCTGGGGGCCATTAGGCTGGAGCTTCCTGTGACTATAGCTCTCTGGAGTGGCCTCCCAGCTCTACCCAGGGGACCCGGCTGTGTTCTGTGTGGCTCTCCTCTCTGAGGCTGCCTTGACAAGAGCCTGCTCAGGGTGGCCTGGCCTCAGTTCTCTCCTGTGCAGGACAGGGCCTCTCAGAGCCACTGGTCAGCTGCTGAAGCTGGGGATGGGAACACAGGGCCAAGGCCACTCACACGGAACAGCTCAGAAAAGCCATGGGCACCTGAACAGGGCAAAGCCACCCTGGGGCGGACAGACAGACAAGATATACAGACAGGGAGGAGTGTGTGTGCCCCCTAGGGTGGCTGCCTGGGACCAGGGACAGGAGTTGCCCTGGTTCCAGCTTCAGGTCCCAGCTCTTCTCGGGGACATCCTCCTGTGGTCAGGACAGGCAGAGCTGCTCTTGGCTCCGGGGCACCGTTCGAGTCAAATGTGATCCTGGGTGTCCTGCCTGGATGGAGAGCGTGTGGCTCCCTGCTCTTCTCACAGAGTCCTCGCTCCTGCCCGTGGGCTGGGATGAGCAGCGTGAGGTGCTGCAAAGTGCTGGCCGCACTCTTCCACGTGGGTCCCTGTTCCTAAAACCCTGAAGCCCTCGCTTTTTAGAGAGCTTGCTGCTGCATACAGCAGAGATGATAAGATGCTTGAGACAGGTGAATGTTTTTGTAATATTTTTCCCATTTCCCACTTTTATTTTCAGAGATGGTTCTCATTGTTGCCTGGGCTGGCTCTGAAATCTTAGGCTCAAGTGATGCTCCTGCTTTGGCTTCCCAAGGCATTGGCACTACGGTACAGGTGCCCTGCCTCACCTCTCACTTCAATGACCAAAGCCACTTACTCTTCTGGGGTGGATGGACATGGACGTGCTGGAGCTGGAGCTCCCACCCCTGGGCCCTGTGCGGGGGCCCTGCTGTCAGGACGTCAGCATGGGAGCTACCCCAGCACGCCCTGACTCCTGCAGGAGTGGGTCCAGCGAGGGAGATGAAACAGCAGACACCTGTGACACAGAGCGACAGACTGGTGTGAGCTCCGACCCTCTAAGGCCAAGGAGCTGTGAGCCATCTACACTGCATGTGATACAGGACAAACGATCCCCGCTGCCCCAGTGGCTGCCAGCGGCCACCCTGTTGTCCCCAGGCAGGACGTGTGCCTGGCCTGGTCCTCTGAGCACTCTGACTGCAGGCACGGCTGGTCTGTCTGGGCACTGGCTCTTGTCTTCTGCTCCCTGCGATGGTGGCACTGGGTTGTCTACCGGGAAGGCCAGGCAATCCCAGGTGGGCTCAGCGAGGATCTGGCTGCGGTTCAGGGTATTTACGGCATGCCCAGAGTGGTGCATCTGCTGGGGAGGGCCATGGTTGGACCCCAGGCATCTGCTCTTCCCCTCACCCGTGCCACCACAGCCCCGTGGGGCCCACGTGGACTGTGGTGCTGGAGGTGATGACGCTGTGTCACAGGCCCAGTGAGACGGGTTCTCACAGCCTGCGAGGGTTTCTTTCCTTAGGCTGGCAAAGCAGGCTCTTCGTAGTCTTGTTTGATTATTGATTTAGGAGGTCTTCCACCCCTTAAATAAAGGGCAGAAGAAATCCTTGTTAGCAATTCTCTTTCCCTTTTAAGCTAAAGTCCAGTTTATTAACTAGAAATGTCCGTTGAGGACAGGACCCTGGGATCACATGACCCTGCAGGTAGGCCAGGCACACTTACGCTGCCACTCTGCCTCAAAACCTGTTCTTTGAACCTTATTGAACTGCAAAATAAAATATTACAGAAAGTTACATGAGAAAAATAGGAAATTATAAAGATAAATGTCAGGTCAAGGATTTAGCGCAGTGGCATAAGTGCCTGCCTAGCAAGTTCGAGGTGGTGAGTTCCATTCCTGGTACCAAAAAAAAAAAGATGAATATCGAGCTTTATCACAAAGCCGGTCCAGAACCAGACCTCCTTTTCTGGGTCTGCGGAAGGGTGGAGTTAAAGAGCAGAGCTGTGCACCTAGCTTCCTACTCCATAAACAGCTCGACTCTTGAGGCCGGCACCAATCGAGCCCAGATCACGCAGGCTTGGAGGAGCAGCTTCCCAGATGGCAATTGCGGGATGTCTTGTCCCTGTGGCTCCCCCAACTGAACCGCACCCACAAGCCCTACAGCCCCAGAGAGGGCTGTGCACCCCCCAGCTGGCACAGAGCCATTGGCTTTCTGTTCTTGCCAAGGCAAGGGTGCTTGGGGAGAGCATGCCAGCGTGGCTGCTCGGGGAGTTGGTCCTGGGTGTATGCTGTCAGGTTTACACAGCGAAGGGAAGGAGAGAAACATCTTATTTTTCTTTTTTTCCAAAACATGGAGTTATGGCATTGTTAACACAAAAAGCACAAGATTCTGTACTCAACCGTGGATGGTCGCTATTTATCCTTTCCCCATACATTTGCTGTTTACCTTTATTAGTGCACAAAACTAAGCGTTACAGACTTGGCTAACAGAAATGCCGCAAGACAACTGGAGATGAGTGCCCTGCACTGTACCCAGTATCTGGAGATGACTGTCCCTTCTGTGTTAGAATATAAAAGTCTCTCCAGGGTTCCAAGAAATGCCTACCCTTGTGGCCACCTGACCTACGAAAACCCAGTGGACATTTTATTTTTTAGTAGGAGGGGAGGGGCGTGTGACACAAACAAGACAGGAAAACACAAATGTAGCCATTCAAACAGTACCGCACCCCGAGAAAACTCCAGCTCCTGGCCTCCTCTCTCTAACAGGGATTTAGAAAGTGGCCTTGCAGGGCAGAGACCAGACTGCCTGGTACCAGGGACCCAACCTCGTGGGCGTGTGCTCCAGTGGTGACATCCTGGGGCACACGGCTCCTTCCTGCGGGTAAGCAGTCCGTCTTCCCGCTTTCCACACTACCCGGACAAACTGGGACACCACTGGCGGCAGTGACCCTTTGCTTCTCAGCAGTGTGGAATTGGGAAGAAAAGATTTTAAAACTGTCTGACCTCAGCAGATGAACTCTTGGAACACTGTGGGAGGCCGGGGATATGGCTCACCGGAGCTCTTGCCCTGCACACAGAAGGCCCTGGACTCAATCTCCGGCACCACAGAAACAAAGTGGAAACAGTAAGTTCAGAAACAGCCTGCAAACGGGACGCACATCAGGAACTTGGGTGTGTTTGGGGCGGGGGGCACCAATGAGCATGAACGGCCCCTCGGTCCCAAGCTGGAGTGCAAGGAGAGGAGCAGACAGCTGGGCACGACGGAGGCCCAGGAGGGGCCAGCAGCGCCCACCCTGTCACTCCCATTCTTGCTGCCTCAGCCAAGTGTCACTGGCTCACAGGACTCTGCCAGGTGAGGCTTGTCCCCATGCTCTCCCATCGTGCCCCGTGAGAAGGGAAACAGTGCTATGTGGGGAGCCGGAGTCCCACCTGGGTGACCTCCGCACCCAGCAGGCTGAGACTGGGGCTGGCAGTTTGCAGGTGGCTGTCAAGCTGCACTAAAGTTGCTCCCTGTGAGGGGTCGCACCGGACCCTGCACAGGGAACAAGAGAAACTTGTTCTGAGGGCCATCATTGCTCTATCAGAGTCACAGCTGCCTAAAATCCAGTGACCAGCAGATGCTATGCGAGCTGGGGACACTAGTAGGGGGATGTGACTGCTCCTCTAACGTGTCTGAAGGGACAGTGGCAGAAAAGTCAGTGTGGTTTGCTTCTGGTTCACAGAACAGAACCAGGACAGCTGATAGATTCCTGCCCAAGCAGGTAGACACAGTTCTTGCCACTGAAGAGTGTGGACCAAAGCTGGGAAGCTACTGGACAGAGTGGGGCCTGGCAGAGGTGGTGGGGCCACGAGCCCCGGGGCCCTCCATCTGAAGGTTCCCCAGAAAGCCCACACTCACAGCTTAACTGCCCAGGTGGACGGCACCCACGGACGGTGCCTGCTGCTTGTTACGGTGCCTGAAGGTGGCGGGTGCACTGCAGAGCCAACCTCGCTCTTCTGGGCTCGAGGACCCGTGTTCGAGGGAGGTGGAAGCCTCAGGACACAGTGCAGGGGGAGGAAGCAGAACTGCAAACAGCAAGTCGGCCTGTCCGGACACCTCAGGCACAGACACGCCTCCGACCTGGCCCCCTCAGGCCCCTTTTGGTTGGCCCTTTGTGGCACGGTGCTCTTTTGTGTGGTCACACCTCTCCCCTCTGTGCCGAGACTCCTGGGCTAGGACTGCACAGTTGGGAAATGCAGAAAGGACCCCAATTTGGGTCCAAGTGTGCCTCTGGCTCCAGGCAGAGTCTGCACATGCAAACAGGTGACAGCACCGTAAAGGTGTGTACCAGTTCATCTGTGCACTGCCTGCCTCAGCCCAAACCACGAAACCCTGGAAACGTTAACGTGGACACAGTTCGCTCCTGGATCTCAGATGAAGGGCCCTGTTAACATGAGGGTGATTCCTAGCACGTACGCTGGGAAATCACGTCTCAGTTATTAACACGAGGGTGATTCCTAGCACGTACACTGGGAAATCATGTCTCGGTTACCACAGCTGAACCAAAACCAAGACAGCAAGGAAACAAGAGAAGTGGAGAGTGGAAATTCTAGGGCCTTGCAATGTTAAGTCTGGATTCATGCTGCAGGAGGGCAGAAAAAGAGGTGGAGTCGAAATGTAAACTTCTAGACTTTCTTAAACAGAAACACTCAGTGACTGTCCATTCCACTCATGCAACGGGAGGCTCACAGTAAGCAGAAAGGGAGCGTCCTGCTCTGGGCCAGGCGGAGGGCACCCATCCCTGCACCTGGAGATTGCGCTCACTTAGAAGAACGTGCGTTACTCTAGGTGAAAACCGTGTTTAATTATTAGAGTGTTTTTATTAACAAGCTCTCCCCAGCCGGTTCTGAGTATGTCACACCGGCAGGCATGGCGGCAGCGGGGCGTGGCAGCTGGGGTCCATGGAGCTGCGCCTCTCTCTCACAGCTCTGCCACAGCTCTGCAGACAGCCAGGGCCGGGCTGTGACCTGCCTCCCCCAGGAGATGGTTAAGCAGAAGTTCTGGTTCACTGTGATTGACATGTGTCATGCCTGGGACTGTGCCAGCCTGTGACAAGCTCTGTGCTGCTCTCCTCTCCGCACTGTCATTCTGATGCTGCAGACCGGAGACTCTGCTTCTGCTCCCGGACCCGCCCTCCCCGAGTCCCAAGTCCCTGTCTCCGTGGAGACCCCTTTGGTTACTCTCAGCATCGAAGTGTGCTGGCCGTGAAGAGCTAGCAGCCCTGCAGGCCAGTGGTGACTGCCTGGCCACCCAGGTGTCCGAGCCCAGTATGCCACCTGTGCCAGTCTTGCCTGGGTGCTCTGGGGCCTGCAAGCCCAGTGCCTGGTGGAGGTGGCAGTTCCTAGGCGAGGAGTGTGTTCCCGGTGGCTTCCCACAGCCCTGCAGGCAGGGACAGGGGTGGGGGTGCGGGTGTGGGAGATGGTGCACGAAGCCCTCAGGGACCAGGTGTGTGGCCTGCAGAGGTACCACCCCATTCTGGATCTGGGCAAAGCCACCTGCGACAGGGGCACAGTGGCTGCAGGAGCAGTCACCCCCCTGCCGGCAGGAGTGTGAGCTGCAAGTGAGGAGTTTGTAAGTGTGCAGGCAACGACACTGCTGGTTGAGGGAGAAGAAGGGGTGTGTGGGGTGTGGCTCGGGGCAGGGTGGGAGCAGGGTGGCACTGGAGTCAGCCCTGGAGCACAGGCCATGCTCCCCAGAGCAGGCTGCATGCCGGGGCACTCCCAACCCCCCCACCGGGCTGCCCAGCAGCTCAGCACAGAGGTAGGTCTCCTCATGCCTGGTCTTCTCTGGGGCCACACAGCTGCGGGATGCCAGCGGTTCCAACTCGTAGAACTCACGCTCCTCTTCTGATTTCTGGACCCGGGGATCTAGAAGGTATGCATGCGTGGGGCAGGCTTTGCTTGGGCCCTGGTCACTGGGCCCGGGGGACAGCGCATGGGAAAAGGCACTGCACTGGAGCTTCTGAGGCAGAGGGATCTGCCCACAGGAGCCCTGTGGCCCGAGGCACCGGCACATACACTGGAAGAAGAAGGTGGCAAAGGCCCAGCTGACGCACATGACGAGCATCATGAAGGTGCCCAGCTGCGTGTAGGCCAGCACAGTGGATGGCATCATCATGGCCCCGGCCACAAAGGTGGTCAGGGCAGCCATGGCGATGGCTGAGCCCATGCGGCTCAGAGAGAAGGTCACCTTGCCCTCCCGGTCAGGGTTTGGAGCCAGGCGGTATGCAACCCCATAGTGGACGGCGAAGTCTACAGACAGCCCCACGGCCACGGAGATGGTGACAGACTCCAGGACGTTTAGTTCCCAGCCCAGCAGGACTAGGGAGCCCACAGTAACAAAGATGGTACCTGCGATGGAGATGATGGCGTACAGACTGATGATGGCATTTCGTGTGGTCAGCAGCATCACACTGAAGGCCACTGCCACCGACAGCCCCATGGCTATGAGTGTGCCGTCTGAGAGGCTGTCCTGGAGGTCGTAGAACTCGAGGTTGCTCACAAACCAGCCATTACCGAGGCCCTCAGGTGCAGAGCGTAGCTCCCGGGAGATCCATGAGTCCACCTCGCTGTAGAACTGGTGCATCTTCTCATAGGCCAGCGTGAAGAGGTGGGTGCTTGGGAACTCCAGCACCACGGCCCGGATGGTGTCGTTGACGTCAAAGCGCGGCCCCGGCGTCCTGCCGTCCAGGTGGTAGCCCGTGCTCCTCTCCAGTTCCATGATGGCCCTCTTGATGCACAGCTCGAAGACCTCCTGCTTGTAGGGGAAGCTCCAGTGGCTGCAGCACGGGTACAGGGCTGGCTCGTCGCAGTCCTGGTTCTCCATCCACTGCTTGAAAGTCTCAATGAAGCAGCTGGTGAAGTCCTGCTCGTCCGTCTGGTGGAAGAATGTCTGGTTCCTCAACTTCTGGCAGAAGTGCAGGACCCAGGCCTGGGACGCGGGGCTGGCGATGTTGAAGCTGCTGTCCAGTGTTAGTTTGCCCTTGCTCTTGGGGTTCAGCGGGTTGCCATTGTCCTCGGGGGACACGCCCCAGACCACAGTGATGGGCATGTGGAGCTCCTCACCATGGCGCACCCGCTCAAACATGAACAGCTTTTTGTACTCGGCGTCGTAGCGCTCGAACGGGTGCGAGGCTCGGAACACCTGGAACTCAGACAGCTCCAGGGAGGGCAGCTTCATCTTGGGGTTCACACACACGATGTAGGCACCACCTACTGTCAGCACGAGGAACCACAAGAGCCACAGGTAGCGGAACTTAATGACGATGCAGGGCAGCACCTTCTCAAAGAAAATCCGGGAGGCCTCGGAGATGGCCAGGAGCAGCCTGTGGCATGTCCGGCAGGCCACCGCCCAGCAGCTCTTGTCGTACAGCTGCTGCTGGGGCTTCCGGAAGCAGCTGAAGATGTTGAGCAGGTAGCGCTCGTGCAGCACCACCACGGCTGGGAGCCAGGTGACCATGAGGATGTAGTTCACCAGGATGGCGGTGCCCGCGTACACGCCAAAGCACCTAATGGCTGTGATCTTGCTGACATAGTTGGCGTAGAAGGCTGCGGCGGTGGTGAAGCTGGTGACAAACATGGAGAGGGCAGCGTGCTGCAGAGTGGCGCTCACTGTCTCCGCAGCCTCAGCACGGGGCTTGTCGCATTTGGTATAGGCCCACACGTCACAGAGCACAAAAGCATCGTCAGCCCCAATGCCAACCAGAATGATAAGTGCAGTGAGGTTCATGAAAGGGAAAAACTCGAAGTTGAACACAACCCGGTAGAGAAAATAAGAAACGATCAAGGAGCTGATGATGGCAAACATGGTCATCAGTGTGATAAACATGGACTTGGTGTAGACACACATGACCAGCAGGACGAGCCCCATGGCGATGGCTGGATACACAGTATCCATCAGAAGATAGTCTTGAAACAAGCTGTGTTTGATGCCAAACTCAATCCCAGTGACGGTCGTCATGCCATCCGAGGAGTTCCAGTTTTCGAAGTTGTCCAGGTAAATGTTCATCATGCTCTTCCCCTTCTCCGTGGGTGAGAAGAGCATGCTGTACCTGAGCACCGGGGCGGGGTGGTCGGCCACCTTCGGGGCCATGAAGTCCTTGTCCACCAGGTAGTGGAGGATCTGGTACACGGCGTTGTACTTGGTGCACTTGCGCGGCACACTGGTGCACTTGAGCTGGTCCTTCCTGCGGGCGGCGGCGTCCCAGCAGTCCGGCCCCAGGGTGCCGTTCTGGTAGTGCTTGGCACAGGTGCGGAGCAGCTTCAGGGTGTGAGACACATCTCGCTCGACAATGCTCTGACAGGACGACCTGTTGTTCAGAATGGCAATGTAGTTCCCCAGCGTCCAGCTGGGGCAGCAGGAGGCGGCGGTGGTCCTCTGGCAGAGGTCACCAAACTGGGGGTGAGACCTGATCTGCAGAGAAGACACGCAGGACACGGTTAGAAGCTGCATGGCTGGGGCGGTGCCTGCCACTTCGAGGGACAATGACAGTCTCGTACCCAGTATCAATCTGCACACAGGTGAGAGTCCTCGAACCATTTCCCAGTGAGGGCTCTAAGTTACTGTAGTCTGAACTACAAACCAGTGTGTGGAGTGAGACACAAGTGTAAAGCAGGGGCAGCCAGTGCAAGTTTGGAGGATAAAATTAACACCTGCGCGGCACAGAAGCCTTTTCAAGCCCTTGTGACAGGCAGTGAAGCCTATGTAGTACAGGATTAAGAAAGCAATTGTCCCAGTCCCTTTTGTTATCAGCGGGAACTTTTCAGTGGCCCAGGTTCATTATCTCCACCAACACAGCCGGAGACAAAGGTGCTGCTCCCAGAAATGGCTGAGGGCTTTTTTCTGTTTCTGAAACCCAGGTTAAACCCTAAACCCAAGGTGAACTCAGTGAAAGGCTGGCTCCTGGGGCAGTGATGAATGTCCTCTGAGGGAGCCCAGGGGGGCCTGTCATCCTTTCACCATGCAAGGAAACACGGTGGTCCCCTCTGGAGGAACCAGCACCACAGACACCACCCCGCAGGCCCTGATCTCAGATCTGCCAGCACCCAAACTCACAGCGATACATTCGCTGGGCACAAACCCCAGTAACAACAGCTCAATCCTAGACACACACTGACCCCGGTACTATCCAAAGTACCAATATCAGGACACACCAAGATTGAGACTAAATTTTTCCCCTGAAATTTGGGTAGAAAGTGGAAAGATTTCAAAATTAAAACACTATTATCTGATTTTAAATAACATTACTAACAATAAGTAGGTGCTTAATTATTTCTCTAAATTCTTAGAAAAGTTTTTAGGCTGGCTGAAAGCCCCTCTTGGTGCTCCCTGGTAACTGGGAGACGGTGCGATGGGACTTAGTGTGCACTGCACCCCACAGGAACACCCTCAGTGGAAAGGGTTTCCCTTCCCAGGCTGTTCTTGCCTGGAAAGTAAAATGTCATTTTTGGGCCTTGCTGGATGACCAGAAGTCTGGATGGTCCCCCCCACCCCAAGCTGACAAGGACCGCCTTCCCCACTCCAGAGCCTCCTCTTAGCAACACAGCGGAAGGTGCCGGGTCCCATTGCTGTCCCTCATCCCTGCTGAATGGAGCTGGGCCAGGAAGAAAGGCCGAAGTGCAAGGAGGGCACAGGCCCTCCCTGGAGGATTGGGCATGCTTGCCCCTGACCGAGCCGGGCTGTGAGGCCAGAGGTTGTGCTGTCTCTTCAAAGTGGAGAAGGCGACACAAACCAGCTGCCTGCTGGCTCAATCTAAACACAAGTCACTTGTGCTCCCAAACCCTCTGGCCAAACGCTTCAGGGGTAGGAGAGGGGCTGTGGGGCCAGGACGGGCTGCAGAGGTATTTATTCATGCAGATGGGGCATTCGTTTGTTTTCTTAAAAAAAATACTCCATGAGAGTAAAGAAAAATAAGCCCAAAGAGCTATTGCTCAAACATATAAAAATAGTAGTTCCTTTCCCAGACTTTCTTTCTAAGCTCATTTCTTAAAGCAGAAATAATTCACAAAACAGGTAACTGACATCTGAGTTTGTGAAAAACACACAATGCTACCTGAGTGAGGACTGAACCCCAATGGATCAGGGGCAGCTAGAGTGGCACTTTTCTGGTTTGCAGGCAGATACCAAATCATACCCACGGCCACATGTGCCAGTGCCTGGGCCAGCTTGGTGAATGGAAGGGAAGGTGTTGCCGGCCTGAGGCCTGATACAGTCCAGACTGAAGTAAATGAATTGTAGCCGCGGGAAGCTCGGCTGCCCGGTTGGCAGGCACCTCTCTGTGGCTGTGGCAGTAACGAAGTGCCACAAACAAAGGAACACAGTTGCTGGTTAAACAGAAAGCACAGATGCAATCCTGGATGAACCTTTCCCACTACAGCAGGGGTTTTAAATGTGTGTATCTGACCACAGACTAACAAGCTGTGTGCTTTGAATACCGACCCGGTGCCGCTCTGCCAGCCGCTGTCAACAGTAATGGAACCATTGCTAGATTCCAGGGGCTCTGAAGAGACTGCTTTCGAGGACTCCTCCAGGGTACCGCATGAGGACAGAGAAAAGCCACCACAGGTACCTCTGACTATCCTGAGCAGGATCCAGCGTGTGCGCTGTGAAGGAACACGCCTTAAGGAATTGTCTGCGTTTTCCGGCAGGAAGGCTATATGCTCACCTCTGCCCATCACTCAAAGAGAAACATTTCTACCCACCTCCACAAGATGCAGGAGACACAGCAACCCTTGCCCTCAAGCTGCTCATGGGTGACAGGCAAATCTGATAAAAATAAGTAACTGTGATGGATGTGGCGAGCACAGTACTGTGTGAGCCCTTACAAAGAGGGGGGCACAGGTCATAAAGTGCAGTGCTGATCCCAGCACTTGGGAGGCCAAGCCAAGACTGCTGTGAGTTCCAGTCTGGCCCAGACTACAGGGAAAGTCCCTGGACAGTGGTGATTAGGTGTGTGTGGCTGAGATGGAGAAACGGAGGCTTGTGTCGTGACTTGAACTTAAAGAGAAAGGCAAGCCGGCTTCTCCTCACATAGAAGGCAGTTACACATTCTTCATATTTCTGGAAAAGACTCATTAAAATCTTTAAAAATCTTTGAAGTTTATAAAATGGAGACTGTGAAGGTAATTTCTTGCCACTCTTGAGAATCTAGCCCTTCTGGCACTAGTGTTGTTCACTGGGTGTTTCAGGCCATCATTCAGTGTGTGTGGGGTCATGATGTACCTTTGTTCCCTTCCCTAGTCAGACATCAGGAAGGGTGGAGTGGCTCTGAAATAGTGGGCTAAAGAAAGAGAGGAGAGAAAAGGGAAAAACCAGCGGGGTTTTCAGTGATACATTAACTTTTAAAACTACTGGCTAAGTTAGAGTCTAAGAAGCTGAGAATAAAGTTAAGGGAGAAAAAGCTTCAGCCCTTAATGCCAGGTTCGGCTGCTGCTGGCAACCTTTCCACAGCGCGAAGCTCCCCACGTAGCAGACGTTTAAGGGGAGTCCAGGGAGAAGACAGGAGCCAGGCTCCACGGCACCCTTAGAATAGGAGTCCAAAAGCACACTTCTAGGCTCCTCTGAGCTGTTCACCCAGGTCACCTTGGTCAGCCAGGACACCGAATGCAAATCCTTTCCTCCAGTTTCTACCAGGACAAGGACGGGCACAGGAAAATGGTTCCTGGTGCTGAGATTACAGAACCGCACTTCTGGCTCCTCATGACTGCTTGCCAGCATCACAGAGGTGTCAAGAGCAAAGTAAGTATGGAGAAGGCCCTGGGGGATCGGCCGAGGCTCCTGTGGCAGGGACAGAGCGAGCCTCCTTGCTCTGGAGCCCAGGGCCCTCTGAGCTTGAGTGTGAGCAGGCATTTATCAAGTGCACGCTGCAGTCTGACTGCAAGTGCGGCACACACAAGCAGGAGCCACGGGAAACATCTGGCCTCCATGATGGCAGGGCAGCCCCTGGAGCCGCCTTACCACCACAGGTCTCTGCTGCCCGGTCACTGCTGTGTCCTCCTTAGCTGGAGAATAATCAAGTGTGTCAGTGCGTGACCCGGGCGGGGCCTCAGACACCGTCTGCTCCAACTGCCGGGAAATAACAGTGGGGCTTGAGCGAGGAGACGCAGAAAAGGAAGGTGGGAACGCAGGGTGCACTATGCTGGTGTGTGTCCCCAGAGGGCTGGCCTCAGCTCCCCAGGGCTCTCACCTGGGCAGACACCAGGCCAGCTGGGAGGCGATGGCCAAGCACATCACCCGATCAGTCTAGAGATTTCAGGTTTTTTACATACCCTGGAGTTATCTACACTGCACATGGATTTAATTGCAGGTAAATTCCACAGTGTCTCCCCTCCTGTCGAAGTAAACACTACTCTGGAGTATCGTTCACCTATGATAACAAAAAAGGAAAGAAAAAGTATTATCAGTCATTGATTCTTCTTAAGACAGACCTCAAGACCAATTGCAGTAGGACTACATGGCAATTCATTAGCAGTAGGAATTCTGCCTTTCATAAATTGCTGGAGAAACTTTATACAGAAGCAACACTATGCATCCATCACCTTAGCACAAAGCCTCTGTCTACCAGGCATGCCCATGAGCCACAGTACACACATCACAGCTCCATTTCTGATCAAAGTTAAGGAGAAAGAAAGATGCATAACAATTTTCAGTAGGAGATGAACTGAAATGCCTCCCTCTTAAACTTCACAACATACCCCACCAAGACACACTAGGGTGGTGAGGGCGAACCTTCCAGAGCTTTCAGTGATACCAACAGCCCACTACCACACTCAAGGCCGGGATCACCACCACTGCATGGTGTCTGGAGAACAGATGGTCAGGACGTGCTCCCTGGCTGAGAGGGAAGATGGGACGTGATCAACGTGAAAGCGATGAAGCTGGAGTCTGGCCACACAGAGTGCTGGCCCAGCCAGCATCATGGGTGCACTGTGTGTTCTGAGTGTGTCTACACCCCTGGTGCAACAGAACCTGAAAGCAATGCCCCGGAGTCCAGGCTGCTGCACTCGGTGGTGGGGCATGGGAAGCACCGGGAAGAGCGTGGTGTCTGGGCCCTGACATGGCCGAGCCAGGCCTGTTACTGCAGACAGCAGTCAGGCAGAAACATTCTAGGCAGTCAGACAGGGCTGGGCTCGAGTCAACGTAAAGATAAGCCTCGTCATTGTGGCCGATGCACATCCATGCAAGGCCAGGTCTCTAGACAAAGACCAGGCATGCAGTAAGCGATGACACTCAGTCTAGCAAAGTCCAGATACACATCAGTCACTTCAGTGTGTGACAGTGGCCCAGACTCACTGCTTCCTAAAAATGTCTTTGTTGTTTCTCTGCTCACATGCTCTGTGACTTGCTCCACCATTGGCTCAGTATTACATAGATGGCTCCACTTATAATCTTACTGATTGATCACAGCTGTACCCACTTGGTGCCCATTGGTTGTGCTATGTAAAGCTTCCCCTGAGAAGCGGGGCCTTCACCAACCCACTTGGGGCCCTTCCTGCCTCTCAGGGGCTACGTCTCTCCTCATAGATAAACATTTCCTACTCTTAACCTCCACTGTTGCTTAGAATTTATTCTTCAGTTTCGGGGACATAAGCTCAGTGTGTCAGATGTCTAGCAGGTTGGGAGGTACAATATTCCCTCAGGTTAATGAAAGACCTTGTGTCATTTCCTCCACCACTGTCATGATCTGGTGACTGAACACAACTGTAACTTCTCCGAGCTGCTTCTTCCTCTGCAAAATGCTAACAGCAACAACCATTTCACCCAGTTGTGAGAATCAGAGGACACAATGGAAAATCGGTGCTCGATAAGACTGCTCCTGCCTCAGTCATTAAAAAGGTAATATTCAGCAGGGGGAACAAAGTGACTATATGTTACTAAACTGTGCTAATCAAATAAGCTGGTAAATTCATGAGCAAAGTTTTATCATGAAATGTTCCATTCACGGTCATGACATTTGTTTAATGAGCTCATCTTCACCAAATCGCTACCACCCTTGGCAGACTATTTGGAGAGCCAAGTCAGCCTGCTGGAAACAAATGCCTCTTTCACACAGAACTGACCATAGCCTAGGTTACAGAAGATGTGACACAGAAGAAGTCCTTGCCCCAGTCACCTTAGGGCAAGGATAGGTGCTGACTGCTGACACACACACCAGGCTGTACTTCACCAACTTGCTAAGCTTCTTCCTGGTTGAGAGAGCAGCCAACATATGGTGGCAAAGCAAGAACAGCCTACCACTGGGACAAATAAAGCAGCCACAACTACACTACCCGCAGTTCCATTTGTCCATGTTTTAAGAGACAGAGAAGGAAGCTGGATTGCTTTCTGGAGTCCGTGTAAGATCTCGCTGAATCTACTTTCTATTACTGCATAGTGAAACAGGACTCAAAACAAAGACCCTGAGACTTGGCAAGATCTAGAAAGATGAAAGATCCATTGAGGTCCTGCTGGGTTTGAGTAGGAAAGAAAACATAAAAGAGTTCTTCAGCAGCAATCACAAACCCTGAAACCAGAAGGGCTTCACGTTATCACGCACTCGTGTTAGCTCCCGCTCATCACTGCGGCTGATGAGTGTATCTGCTGGTCTGTTCTTCTGCCACCACTGGGCACCTCTCCCCAGCCCAGCAGCTGCACAGTAACCACGCTGTTGTCCTGCCTGCCCTGCCCACTGTAGCCCTCTGGCCGTGCCAGGCGCCGAGGCACACATGCAGGGTACGGGACTTGGTTTTGCTCCTTTCTCCTCTTCTGCTGCTCAGTGATGAAGCAGGCATGTGGTTGGTTGGCCTTTATGTTTTTCAAGTGAACCAAACTTCAAAACTTTTTTTAATAACGCCAGAGATTCTTTTAGGTTTCAACCCCAAAATATGTACAAAAACATACACTGTTATTTGATCCAGAAATAAATAAGATAAAGAATTTGAAATATGACTTGAAAGTTTGGGCAGGGTCAAAAATTTCATTAGATTCATATTTTCCTTAAAGCTAAATCTAACCTTTAAAATTTTTATTGTAGATAAAATTCAGACAGTGGTTGCCCAACATAGAGGAACAGTCAGTCTGTAAGCTACCACGCTCCTGTGTCTGCACGAGGCCAGATGTGACCCTGCTCTGTCCTGGCGCGGGAGGCAGGTGCAAGGCCCTCCCAGGACACTACTCACTTGGAACATCGCAGAAAAAGCTGTCTTTGTGGAAGTCCCAGTCCACTTCTCTTTTTTCTCTTTCATAATGGTCCTCTGACCACCGATCATCCCGATGGCTGAAACAGAGCAACAATGTGACTTCAATAAAGTTCTGGCTACCTCAGGGTAACAAGTGTGGGGCGGGCGGTACAGCTGCCGAGCCCCCAGCTGTTCAGCGACTGACAGCAAGCAACCTGGAAGGGTCAGCGTAAGCAGCCAAGATCTGCCTCCTCACTTCAGAAAAGAAAAGACGCCCCTTCTCATCCTACAGCACAGCCTTAAAACCCCAAGGTAAGCAACTTGGGGGCAAATGACTTTCAGTGGCATATTTTATATTTACCTTTTGTGTTCATGCAGCATTTAAAGAAGAATTTATTAAGCAATATTTATATCAATTATATAAACATACACCATCATTACCTTTTGGCTTGCTCATCAGCATATTTAAAGGGGTAATTTGCCAGCGTTGCTTTGTATCCGGTGTTTTTGACCATGTTATTCCACGTGACCAGTCTCTGGCCTATTGTTGTCCCTCTTGGTTCAAAACCCTAGGCAGAATGTCACACGTTCCCATCAGCACACTGCATTCCAGGCTGAGCGCACTCACAGTGACATAAAGATCACCTGTTCACTGTGACAACACAGGCAGGGTGCAGGTCTCAGAGCAGGAAGAACACTTACAGACGTTCACTTTCCTGGCTACTGCCCTGCATTCAGGGGGTACTTATTTTTATCTCCTAAACACAGGCAGGGTCAAGGTGTTTCACAACGGGTAGCGTGACACTAGGCCACTTTTTCTCACACTTCCAATCCAGGGGACATTTACTTAAAAACAGACCATCGTTAGCAACAGTGAAATTCTTGCAGCTCCTTTTGGGAGGAAAATACATTCGGTCTCAGTGCTTTATGGAAATATTTTTATATGGTATGTGGGTTCTGTAGTATATTGCTTTTTAGCTTAAACATGGGGACAGAGAAGCAAAACACCCAGAGTTTTGAGGGTGAGTAGGTTCCTTGACCTTTTTTCGTTAGTGCAATATTTGTTTATAAAAGACTCTTATACCCCTTACCACCTAAGAAGCTGAGAATACAGATTCACACGTTTTTATATTACAAAAAGAGCCACATACTTACCCAAGGCTGGAGGTGGTTTCAAAAGAAACGGAATACTAAACAAAAGACTGTGACCTGCATCACAATACTCTGCTCACAGTGGCAGCAGCAGCTACAGAGAACAGATCTGCTCAGCAGGCCGGGTCTCCTTACCAGCAGCGGATCCGAGAAGTCTGGCAGCTCCGGCACCAACACGCCCACCAGGGCGCAGACCACAATGAGCAGGGTGCACAGGCCCAGGACCACCACCGGCCAGTCGGCTAGTAGGGCCGCGTAGCTGCAAGCAGAGAGCACAGGATGCCACTCAGGCAGTGTAGGGTTTGTGCTGCCCATGAGCACCACTTTTCAGTCCTCACGAGCTAGCCCTTGCACAGGTGCTCATCAGTGTATGAGCTAATGGAGTTCTGTACACACACATTGCAGGCACACACATACGTGCACAAGAGCACACCACAGGCACACACAGAGGCATACACATAAGGAGGATACACATGGGCACATCATTTTCATTTCTAGTGATATGGGTATATAGATCATACATCACTGGCCAGAGAGTCAGAATGTCCGCACAAGGCTGAGTAATGGACTGAGTCCCACAAGGGTAGGGACGCTGGTCCACTCAAATTAGCACTGTGACAGGGCCTTGCAGGAAGTACTCATAGATGTTTCTGATGAAGTGACATGCATGGGTACTGATCACCTGTCCACCAGGTGTTGCACTCTAGTCCAGCCTCTGTCTTACCTCCAGAACTTCACCCACTGCCAAGCCTGCTGGGGTCCCTCCCGCCTGATGCACCCCACACTGTCCCATGCCACCACACCCTGGCCATGCCTCTTCATCTGCACATTTCCAGGCCTTCACAGGAGCACGGTGCCCCTCGGAAGAGGACGAAGCCTCAAAATGCATTCGGTTCCTTAAATCTTTATTTTTCTCTTATTTTTATTAGCACATGTTAGCAGCCTAAGGGTCACACCCCTCCGGGGAGAGGCACACACAGAGAACACAGTCCTTCTATGCCACCTCTTAATCCCCTTCCCATTTGCAAAAAGAAAACCCAGTGAACCTCCTCTCAAATTCTCAGTGAGGCCAGCCTGCTGGCTGCTGTGATGTCCACTTCTGGTTCATTTCAAGTAGGTTTCTTACTCACAGATTTGTCAATTATTTTTGCAAAACCATGCAGTTGCCAATAAAGCTGGTGGTTCTCAATGTATGAAAAAGCCACTCTGTCTCTAAGAACAGACTGCTGGTTTGTTCACACTCTCTTTTCACTATGGATCTTTCTTTGTGGGATATTTACTTGTAATTAAAAGTTCTAATGAGGGAATTAAATAGAACAGAGTTGGGCTGGGGCTCCAGACACTTTTCTCAGCTGTTCCTGCCCCGCAGTATCACAGGCCATGCGGGCAACACAGCCTGCTCTCCCCAGAGTGCTGCTGCCCCCACCCACCCTGAGCTGGTCTGTGCTGTGTCCACTTCTGGGAGAAGGCTACAGTCTGGCTGTGCTGTCTAGAAGCCACAGCCTCCAGGAGCGAGGAACCCCGAAACATGTCTGCGCTCCCAAGTTCACAGTTAGAGACTCTTAGACCCACAAACAGCGCATTTCTAGGCAAATCACACCCACAGAACCCTGAGCTGAACTCTGTTCACTTGACTACAAATTCTGGATCTAAACTTGGGTAGGCAAACTGGTTGTGGTGGAGCATGCCAGTAATCCCTGCAGCCTGGGAACCTGAGGCAGGGGATTCCCAAATTCCTGCCTAGCTCAGCAACTGAGCAATTTGAGACCTGGTCTCAAGATACAAAGTAAACAGGGCTGGGGGTGGAGCTCAGCGGGAAAGACCTGGGTTCAATTCCTGATATCACATACACACACAACCTCATTAAGGAGAAATTATTCTGACATATCAGAATCACTAACAGAGTGACCCACCATGCTGAAAACATGACTCTCACGATACTGCTTAGGCTGTTCAGTTTGCAGAACTCACCGCTGGCTGTCTCCCCCTCCACCAAGCAGGAAGGCAAAGCAGCAGGCTTGGAAGCAATAAAAGCCTCTGCTTCAATAGTGCATCTGAGACTTTCTGCCCGTGGCTTCAGGCTTTCGAGTCCTTTACATCTTAGACCTTTAAACTATCAGCCCTGGGAGATGGAAATGGCTTCGGGCTTATAAGATTAGTCATTACATGTTGCTGAAATGCACCCACTATCATTCAAATGAACCCACAAACCTATTATCAACAGAGGGCGCTGGGTCCCCAATTGCTTAGTTTCCATAGTCTGGTTTAATTTACCCTTATAATGAGCTTTTGTTTTGTGCACAGCAGCCCTGAACCTCTCTTTCAATGACTGCTTCTCTTCCCCTTGAACACGTGTTTGATTTTGCAGCCCTGCTTGGTACCCTCTCCTGTACAGCGCTAGCCCCTGGGGGCAAGCCTGCTGCTCAAGCACGCTGTGTCACTGCAGCAGGTCCTGCAGGATACGGGGAGCCCGCCCCCAGCAGCCACTCACACAGCCCACCTAGGCACACACACCACCCTTCCCCTACCTATGCAGCCATTGGCCCAGCTATGGAGGGTGCTATGGAGAGAACAGTCTCACATCACTGTGAGATGCAGATAGTGGCCCCAGCATCAAGGTGAACAGCTCCTAAGAATGTCATGGCCTGTGCTCACGAGCGCATGTATCCCAGCTGGGGAAACCCCATCTGTATCCTGGCCTGGTCGTGGCAGCTGTGTGGGGTGGGTGCTATGGGATATCCCTCAGCCACACACAATTCTCAGCCACCTTCTCACTGGGTTTCTCTGGAAATAGGTTAGAAACAACAGTTCAAGCAAACAAACTCAGGGTCTCACAGGGCCAGCACACAGTCAAATGGCATTTGAGAGGCTTGTCACAAACGGGCTGTTTCTGTCACAGGAACACCCCACAGCACTTTCTTAGCTTAACGTTCTCCCCTCACTCTCTGTCGTATTTCTGAAAACACTTCTCCCCTCCCCTCTGAGTAGAGCCAAGCTCACAGATTGCGCGTGCTCTGAACCTGCAGTGATGACCATTCTCCTGCCCGACCCTAACCCTGGTAGCCTGCCCTTTGTTCCCCAAGTCGTCTACAGGCAAGCAGTCTTGGCTTCCACCTTCTCCTGGAGCAATACTTAGCTCCTTTAGTTATCCTTCCCTTCCTAAAAGCCTTTGCCTTCATTTTAATCCTTCTGTTTCTCTCAGTACTCCTCCTGATTCCTTCTGTCCTTGAAGGGTAGGCATTTCAACATGTTATTAATCATAGTGTTTCCTGTGGCATCACGAACTCAAGAATGAAAGAATGACTAAAGTTCAAGAAATTTCACACACAAAGAATAGGGTCCAGAACTCTCATTCTGTAAAGTAATATATTCATCTAGCAATTAGCATGAAGTAACAAGGATGCAAGGCATTATGGGAATACAAAATGGTAGGCACAGGCCCTGCCTACAAGGAACCCAGACAGTCACACAACTATCTATACAACAAGTCAAGACAGAGGTGCTCGTAGAGTCAAAGACAAGATATTTTGTGACTAAGAGATTACTTCTGGCTAAGGTGGAAAAGGGAATCAACAGACTTTTTTGAAAAACTTTTATTTACATGTACATATACCAAAGAGAAGAAATTAGGAATTCTAAAAAATGCCAACATAGAAACAAGGGGGAAAACAATTGAAAATCTTCAAAATGCAAAAATTTAGTCTATTGAGAAGCCCTTATGTCTAAAGAACTGAAATTCCTTTACTTAATACTACATATTTACGGACTTCCGGGAGAACATGGCAGACAAGTAACAGCAGCCATGGAGGCTCTCTGAGATTACCAGTTTAGAATCCAGGAGCGGTGCCGTGTGAGGAGTCCTACGTGAGGGAAGATGTACCCTGCCGACCCAGGAACGAACTAAGCTGAGAGAAACCAACTGGAAATGCAATCCTGATGCTATAACAGGAACAGATAAAATCTCATTGCGGAAGCTGGATCCTGCGCCACTGGGAGCCGCGATTTGAATTTCATGCTGCCGATATTGCGTCCCAATCCGCACGGCAGGAAGAGAGATGCGTGAAAGCTCTGAGAGCTGGAATTGGCGAACCAAACGGCATTGAGAGCGGGACTGGCAGGGAGCCCTGCATTGACCTGCAGTGAGTGAAATGGGGACCCTTTCACAGACTAGGAGGCTCCAACAGAGGACATTCTGGGAACGAGCAGACTAGCCAGAACAGGGCCCTGCAGTGACTTAAGTCGCATATTCCCCTCTCAAGCGGGATTGGTGGGGAGCACTTGGCCTGGTGATGCTGCAGACTAAGATCCAGTAGGCTAGCCCAAATCAGGTCCCTGTGCCTGGTGGTGCACCCTAGCAGTGAAGCATTCAGTAGGTTGACCTGGAGGGGCGGGCCCAGCAGAGGCTGCCCAGGTCTGTGTCTCCCTAGTACACTGCAGTGGGTGGGAACACCTAGCCAGCGGATTCAAACAAACTGTAACAGACAAAGAGGAAAAAAAAAAAAACTGGGCCTCCTACATACGCTTGTATGGAAGGAACAAAAAGTATGGGAAAAGGGAGCAACAAGAAAGGGTCCTCAGTCCCCAATCCTGAGAACACTGATGCAGGAAAGGTAAATGCAAAAGAGAATGAAGACAGAAAACATGCAATATCAAACATGGCACCTACAGACATAAAGCAGTATCTCTGGAGCCTCATAGATGAGTTCAAAAATGAAGTATTTAATGAAATAAAGCAAGAAATAAGTAGAATAGTTAGAGAAATGCTAAGCACTGCCCAAGAAAAAACAGATGATGGAATGGAAGAACAGAAAAAAAGGGGAGAATTTTGTTTGATGGAGAAAATAGAGAAAACATAGAATACGTGAAGCAGGTTCAAAGAGATTACCAGGAAACTAAAAACTCTATTGAAAGCTGGCATAACAGCTTGAAAGAAACTAAGGATAGATTATCAGAACTGGAGGACAGATTTGTAAGGTGGGAGCATGAAATGAAAAACTTCTTAAAAATAACAAGAAAACAAACAGCAATAATACAAAGACTAGAAGATGATAAGAGGATCTATAACGTAAGAATTAAGAACATAAAAGAAGTAGGGACTCAAACAAATAAACTACAAAAGCTATTCACAGAAATAATCCAGGAGAATTTCCCTAATTTAGCAACAGGTAAAGATACTCAGATGTATGAGGCATACAGGACCCCAGCCACCTACAACCCAAACAGAGCTACACCCAGGCATATAATAATCAAAATTCCAGAAATCCAATATAAGAACAGAATATTAAAAGCTGTCAAAGACAAGAAACAGATCACTTACAAGGGAACACCCATCAGAATTACAGCAGACTTCTCGGCACAAACCATCAAATCACAAAGAGCGTGGGGGGAAATAATTCAAGCTTTGAAAGATAATAATCTCCAGCCAAGATTGATATATCCTGCACAACTGTCCCTAGAAATTGATGGAAAAACAAGGTGCTTCCAGGATAAAAAGGAACTAGGGGAATTTGCAACCACCAATTCAACTCTACAGAGATTACTGCCGGATATTCTAAAAATGAAAAATGCCAAGATTCCAGAAACAGTGGCAGAGCGGCCACAATGAATGGAGCAGAAAGCGAAATGAAGAGGATAAACTGACAACTAATGATAGAAAAAGAGCTCAACAGAAATGAGGCAGAAGGTTGGATGGTAGGAACAACCATTTTGGAGCAAACAAGACATCATAATAGGTAGCGCTGATTTAATATCCTCTTGTTTTGAAGTCCCATCAAGCTTTTGTTCTTCTGTCTCCATCGGTTTTAATGTGTTGTATGTATCTTATTGGATTTTATTATATGTGACAATATAAACAAAAACCTTTATAGACAAGGAGATTATACAGAAACCATTGTTCATTTTCTGTTAGTTGATTCTAAATACCCTGTAATACTGTCATTCTCTTGAATGTTTTACATTATCTTGATATTTTTGATGCTACAGTATACGAAGTTATACTCAAAGATTTTAAGGGAAGAGACACTACTATTATGTCGAGATTATCTTGTGGTGAAACACTGTTTTGCTTAAATGGCTATGTTTTGACCTGCACTGTTTTGTTATTATGCCCTCTTTTTTTTTAATCTCAATCTCCTTTTTATTATCTATTTTTTCATTTTTATCCTTTTAATTAAGGGAAAAATAAATAAAAAATAGCAGGATATATTATAGTAACCCACTTTCATTTCCTATTAACTTGATTTGAAACTCTCTATTGCTCTCACCATCTTGTTTTGACTGATTTTCCTCTATTCTGTTATGCTTGATAGTACCAAGTTTGAAAGTATAGGCAACAACTATGAAGACAATAAGATTCATTGTGACACCAATTCTGGTTGACTATTATCTTCTTTTGAAGTCCTCTAATGTCTCCAATGTTTTGGTTTTATTGGTCTTATTCTTTACTGTTTTGTTAAATTTTATTATAACTGATGATATAGGCAATTCTTTTTAAGATAACAAGAGGCATTATGGTAGCCATTGTTGATCACCTTGTATTTTGTTTTTACATTATGTATTATGTCCATCCTTTTGATTTGACTGACTCTGTCCTGGTATGTCACATTTGGTTTTACTTTCTTAAAAAAAAAAGTAATAAGAACTGTGGGAGTAATAAAACTCAAAATGTGTAATTGTCATTGTACAAAAGAAAGGAAAAGAAAGTTCTCTAAAAGATATAACTGCATATATATTTAAGTGTATAAGATAGATAACCATATTACTGAGTTTTGTTGGATCATTGAACAAAACTGTTTGCAGTCTCACTGTTTCAAAGTCCTCTCTATATGCCTTAACTTTATAACTTCAACAACTATTTCTAAGATGACAATATGTAATTAACTAGTGATTTCCTACTGTTTATTTTTTCTAAAATTCTGTATAACTTGTACCCTTTTTTTTTCTCCTTAAATAAAATTTTTAAAAAATACTACATATTTATTTGTATTTTCCCTTTATCTTTTTTCATTTTTGACAAAAGTAGGAGGAAAATTTTAATAAATAAAATGTGGTAATACAGTGCAGTGGAAGAAGGAAATTCGAATGGAAACCTTAAAGACATTATGCTAAGTGAAATAAAGCATCACAAAAGGATAAAACTGCCACCCCTGTGCAGGAAGTACGAGAATGATGAACCACGATGGGAATGGCAGTCACTGTATGGGTTCAGAGTTTCCGAGGCGACACCCTCTTCTGGGCAAACCAGCATCTTGCCGATGACAACTGTACAGCCTGAAGGCACGTGAGGCCACAGGACCGCACACTTAGAAATGCTCGACATGCAATTTGCAGATGGTATTTTACTAAAATTTAATAATAAATGTTATTTTAAATGGAAGAAGAATTTATTAATGGAGTGTATTTTATTTTACCACAATTAAAAGAAAAGTATTACTTTTCATGGAAGCAGTGTTTTAATGGAAGAAGAAACATATACAGCAATTTTGCTGTGAAAGGTAACTCTCTTGAGGCATGCTCGACACACCTGAGCTTCTTTGGCAACTAAGTTTCAAGGGTCCCTTGGGCTTTCTGAAGTGTAAGGTCACTGCATCTGATCCGACTCACAGTCGTGTAACTGTGCCTGATGAGACAATGCTCTTATTTTTTTCAAGAAGCTCTTACCCATTCAGTGTTTTCTCTACAGAAAGATAAGCCTGGTCCGTCTCCACATCTCCCCGGTAGCAGGGATGCACCACCGTGGGCGGCCAGAGGAGGGACTGCGAGTCTCCTTGGCAGAACCGCACCTCTGCCCTCACACAGGAAGAGACCAATACAGCTGATGATGAGCCGCAAACAGAGTTTGGAGGCTAAACACCTACCCTAAGATTCACGACCACTTCTGAGATCAGCGATTCTTCCAGCAGTTATCTCAGGACTGTTTTCCCTTGATAGAAACAGGGACGAAGAAGCAGGAAAGAGCAGCAGCTGCGGGCGAGACACTAAAAGGGCACACGCACGCCAGTGAGCTTACTCTGGTGAAGTGACCCAAAGTGCCTTACCTTTTGGGTAGCTTGAAAGGTCTGGGTGTTCTGGAAAAAAGCAAAGAGAAATGATCAGAAGCCAAGCGAGATGCCATTAGTAGAAGTTTCACCAGTGGACTGAACATCTAGTCCTCCATTCTCTTCTGCAGATCCTGGAAAGACTAAACAGGCAGGTGGATCTACTCACGCTACATTGAACATGTACGGCCTCGGCACTGGTCACGTACAACAGACAGTGCTCATGTGGCCCTCCCAGCCTCCATCTCTCTGGGACTGAGTCTGCCAGGGACAGACTCAGTCATCTCCCTATACTTCCCATCCATGGTGCCTCCTTACATAGTAAAGGTCTCCCAACACTGTTTATTCTTTAATTAAAAAGGACAGCAATACTTTCTGGTACCACAAACACCTATTCTCTCTGTCTCTGTCTCTGTCTCATTTTGTTTTATTTAGAAGCAGTGTCTTACTACGTAGTGCAGCCTGGCCTTGAACTTGCTCATGCAGTCCATGCTGGCCTTGAACTGACAGATATCCTCCTGCCTCAGACTCCAGAGTGCCATGCCCAGCTCTACTCTTTTTTTTTTTTTGTCTTTTTTCGTTTTTATTGGTACCAGGGATGGAACTCACGACTGCCTGCTTGCAAGGCAGGCGCTTATGCACTGAGCTAAATTCCCAGCTCCTTAACTCTTTAAGATACCATGGATCTCCAAAGTTCGTTCTTTCTTTCATGCTTTCTTTCTTTCAAAACAGGGTCTCACTCTGTAGTTCAGGCTGGCCTTGAATTCATGCACTGTATGGTCTAGGTAGGCTCAAATTCACAGTGATAATCCTCCAGGCTCAGCTTCTGAGTGCTGGAAGAACAGGCATTGCCACCATGCCTGGCTTCAAGCTTCAGTTTCCTAATTTCTATCTTCATATCCCATTTGAACAAGTGTGGGCTTGCATTTGAGTCATGTTGTCCCTGTCTCTCATCCTCCCTACCCTGCCGCTCAGATACACAGGACAAGCTTGCTAAAGGGACTCTATGCTCAGTCACAACTTCCAAACTCTGCATTCTCAACCAATCAGTTTCCTATTTATGGGAACGTGCTAAGCTTTCAATGAAAGTAGAGAGGAAACCAAATCCATTGCTCATCCTCACCAGGACCAGTCAGCATTCTCCTGGGCTGGCCTGCAGAGCCGGGAGCTTCGGGCCCTTGCACAGCTGCAACCCTTCCTTCCCAGCTCTGTGATGGCGTCAGTGTGCTGTGTGCGGCCTGCAGCTCTGCGGTCTTCTCCTAAGCCACACAGCAACGAGGTCTGCAGATGTGAAATGACACCCGCAAAACTTTTTCTGAAAGTACTTCTCTTTCGCCAAAATGTTGTTTATCTTAACACATAATTAGCCTAGTTTTTAGTGAAAAATACAATTTCTCAGTTTTAATTCCCATCTGGTACTTATGTGCTATAAATGAAAACATAAACAAAATATCCTTGGAGGGTTTCCACAATTTTTGGAAGTGCAAAGGGGTTGTGAGATGAAAAGGCTTAAGAACCCGTACACTTCTGCGAACAGCAGACATACGCAGGATGCCCTCGCTGCGCACGCTCTCCCAACCCAGCCTTATCCAGCGGTACCACACTGGGAGGAACACAGCAGGCGCAAACACCTGTCCACCACTCTTAATAGCTTGGGCTCAATGCTGACATTTCTGGAAGACCTGAAGTTCTTTCTTATGTTTCTTTTCCATTTACATCTCTCACTAAGCTACATACTGTATATTTATGGTTTTTATCTCCGCATTCCCCAAAGCCTCATGTACTCGAAGGTGGGGCTCCAGGAGGGGACCTGATCACGGGTGCCACGCTCATCACTGCAGTGGCCCTGCCGAGTTTACAGCTAAGTGTAATGTTGGGAGGTGGCGCCTGATGGGAGGAGGTGGTCACCATGGCATGGCCTGGAAGGCTCCATCTCCTTTTATTCCCCTCCCTTCCTCACCCCTGCTTTCCACCTGCAGCCATGAGCAGCCCCTCCTCTGCCAGGCCCTCTGATGTATTGCCTGCCCTGAGCTAGGGAACTATGGCTGAAGCCTCTACAAACTGTGAATCAAAATAAGTTTCCTCCTTTAGTTTGTAGGCCTTCGGTACTGTGTCTTGGCAAAGTAACCATCACATTACTCATTCTTAAAAAATGTATCTGCCTGCTAGTACAGCTGCCAATGAGACCACAGGGTCCTAGTCTTCTCCGAGGGTACTCTGCATGGTGTGGTGCAGTGCACTGTAACACACCGTCTTCTCCGAGGGTACTCTGCACAGTGTGGTGCGGTACACTGTAACACAGGTACACAGTCCTACATCTCAGCCTTTATTTACCTGCCCTCGGGATGTACTCTGAGCTCTTGACAACCCTGATAACTGAGGAGACAACCAAGCTGGAGTCTGTGAACCCAGAAGTGTGTGAGAGAACACAGCACAGGTATTCTCCACCCCAGCCCTATGCTGAGTGCTGCCTTCGGGCTGGGCTGCAGAGCAGGGCAGGCGCTAGAGCCTGAGAGGCCAAATTTGCCTCTCGACATCTGGATATGGCTGTGTGCAAAGCCAAGGGGAGGTGAACCTACAGGGACAGTCACAAAGTGGTCACCTCCTACACAGGACAGCAAGCAGCTTCCTTTGGGGAGACACATAACTCAGTCTGGGTATCTATAAGAAGAATGTGAAGGAACTTGTGCTTTCGTATCAGGAAGGATCTCAGCACCCCTACACAACACAGAATGCACTGTATGTATAGTATATGTCAAAACATTGTTTTAAAAAAGACACTAAATACACAAAGGGGAGCCATCCTTGGGTTCACACTTCCATAACTTAGCATAATGCATGGTTCTTTGTAAATGTCAATCTGTGTTTGTTGGATTAAGGCATCAAACAAAAGTAAATTTAGTTCTGTTCTCTGTCTCTGTCTCTGTCTCTGTCTCTGTCTCTCTCTCTCTCACACACACACACACACACACACACACACACACATACACACACTCACACACTGTAACTTCAGCCCACTCCTGTCAAACTAAGGTCCTTCATATTTCACTAACCTTTTCAATTTGTGTTACTGCTCACGAATTCTATAGTAGAAGCTCTCTTCTGCAAGGTTACAGCACAAAGGTTACTCAGTAAGGTTAATGAGAGCAAGAACCTTTCGTGAAAAGTACTCTCTGCCTTCCTCCAGTGTGAAGGGGGAATTCAAAGACCCACTGACCGCAGTCTTTTCTCAGGTCAGCAGGTGCACTGTGGCCTTGGTCTGTCCTAGAGGACACATGCCAGACCCGAGGTGCCCTGGCCAGAGCCACCTGCACTCTCAGGGTCCCCCACCCCTTTTATTTCTCCTGTGTCTAATTTGACAGGGACTTTTGGGCAGCAATTTACCATTACCAAATTTTCCTAAGGCTGAGATTTTTTTTCATGAAACAGCTTTCTTTGAATACCTGTGTAGGGGTAGATTATTGAAAAGTTTTAGGTGGACCATGGAAGTAAACAGACAGGCAGGAGCAGAACCCACAGGCCTGGTTTGCACAGGATGGATGGGGAGAGGGCAAGCGGATGCAGGTTGGGGTCTCCTGCCCTGGGGCCATGGGCCAAGCAGCACAGAGGGGCAGAATACACACAGCCCGCACCATAAAAATGTCTACTCCTGAGCAAACCATGAAACACATTTGCTTTTTTGGATAAGTCTACCAAGATACCCCAAACACTTATATTCTCATATCAATTATATATTGACTTTTTTGAGAGAGGGTCTTGCTCTGTAGTCCAAGCTGGCCTTTAACTTTCTATCTGGCCCAGTCTGGCCTCTAACTCACAGTTCTTCTGCCACAGCCTCCTGAGAGCTGATACAGGCATGAACACCATCCACAGTGATTTTTAAGAAAACAGCATTATTGAGATACAGTTCCCATACCATTCAACTCATCCATTTAAATGGCTCTCAGTACTTTCACAGAGTTGTGCGACCATTACCACAACCACACAATGACTTCGCTGTCTGAACTCGAGGATGAAGCTATTAGTGAGCTATAAGGAAAAAGTTATCTGTCTAGAGAGGCAGAATGAGGTCTGGAACAAAAAAGCCGCTGGCTCACATATAACCCGGCGTTTTTCACTTCCTGATTTCCAGTTATGCAGCCGCAACAGCACCTCCTGGATTTCTGGGAAAAGTTAGGAGCTTTGCTATCTTCAGACATAAAATGCCCTCAGAGCCCAACTCTAGACTGTATCTGATTAGGTATTTGCAAAACACCGAGATTTTGTCATATGTGTTTTGGGCTGTAAGATGTAGGAACCTTCTCCTCTCTCCTCCTCGCCAGACTTTCTAAAGCTGCAAACATCGTGGCTCTGACCGGCTTCCCTCCCCAGAGACAGCAGACTATGGACTGATCACATTCTTTCTGCCTGAGGCACAGAATTCATGTTACGTTACATTTGAGACTAAAAGGAGAGACTGTTAACATGGGTTGGAAAAGAAAAACTGAGGTTACTACAAAGATATCTCCTGGGCAAACACCGGATCCCTTTGAAGTTTCCCCACTCACGGACCTGACAGCTGAGGCTGCAGGTAACACAGGAAGGTGCTTTGGTTTGCGGCGTAGCCTGCTTGCATCCTGCCTCTGTGTCTCTTCCCAGAAAGCATCTTCGAGAGCAGGTAAACGAGAGAATCACCCTGTTCTCTTGCACAAGTCCTCCCCTCTGCATGCAAGACCCGTGGCATCCGTTCCTTTTCATATCTAACCGGAACTACTGCATGGTGACTTTCACTCACTCCTGATTCTTGTGTTAACCAACAACCACCCTAACACCTGCTGGAGGGTGCCCTCTTTTTCCTGGATTTGCTCACCTTCACTGCCACACGGCTGCCCAGCAACCACGGGCAGCATCCACCTGCATGGAGCCCTTCCTGTAGCCCGAGGGAAGACAGGGTTCGTGCGTTTGGAGCTGGGCACAGGTCCCCGGGTGCAGCTGGTGCCCTGTTGCTCCTTCCCCCCCATGTAACCAAGCATTTCTGTGTGTAAGTAGGT